TATGAACTCAAAACTCTAACTTTATTAACATTAGCTCCCATTGATGGGAAAACAGATAATGAAACCGTGATATATTCATATAACATCAATCAGCAATAAGGGATAAAAATTTTTTTGACATATGCAACAAGATAAATGAATCTCAAAAACTTTAGGCTGAGTAAAAGAATTCTACCACAAGAGTACATATAATTACATTTATACAAAGTTTTATAATAGTTAAAACTAATCTATACTAGGAAGTCAGAATAGTAGTAGCCTTTGAAGGTGGGAGAAAGAATTGACTGAGAAGGGGCACAGAAAACTTTCCAGGGTGATGGTGATGTTCTTTATCTTGATAAGCTTGGGATACAAAATTATATGCACTTGTCAAAGTTTATGATTTGTGCATTTTATTATATGTAAATATTTCCTCAAAAGGAAAAAAAAACTACAATGAAACACTGAATTACTTATCTATATGCATGCTTAAGTATTTAGGAGGGAAATATTGACTACAATTCATACTGAAGTGTATCCAAGAAAAGTAAAAGGGAGTGATGGATGGATAGATGGGTCAATCTGTGCTAAAGCAAGTACAGTAAAACGTTCATGGAGAATCTAGGTGGTGGGAAAATGAATGTTGACTATAGAATTCTTTTGACCTTGCTATATGCTGGAAGATTTTCCCCAATAAAATGTTAGGGGGGAAATAAAGAATGATGGGAAACCACATGCCTACCAAGGGCTTAAAAACCATATAAGTACTTTCACATTAGGGAACATCCAGGCCTATTTCTTGCTCTGAGTTTTACAAGAAACTATGTTGAAATTAAAATTTTCAAACAGAAATATGGTCAGTTATATAAAACTGCAACTTGATAAATGTTTTGCTCACAAATGTCCTAACAAGACTTATTTTTACTATTACCACAATGGACTGTTTTTTAACATGGCTTTAAATGTTGCAGCTGTGTTATTTGTCATGACATTTTCCTGTGCCAGAGCTAACATAAATTTAAGGATCAAAGAGCTTCAAGTGATTTTATAGATATTATCTTATTTATCCTTGAAGTAGTTCTAAAAGACTCTAGTGGGCAAGCATTATTATGTCCATTTTACAGACAGAAAACAGGATAGAGGAATTAAAGAATGTATTTAAGGTCCTAAGAACATGACACCTATAATAATAGTATACTGAAAGCTTACTAGGCCGATTTTACAATCATTCTCTTATTTAACCTGCACATAAGCTTTCATTTTATACAGGAGGGAACCAAGGTTTATAGAAAGCAAATACCTTGGTTAAAGTTACAAAGCCCATTATCTTAACTACTATCTAATTAGTTAGTGGGTTCTGAACATTTTTTTTTTACTGCTAAGAAATACAAGATAGATGTTCACATTCTTGTGAACATAACTGAAGTTATGCATAATTTTTCCAGGTACTTGTAATTCTACTACTTTTCTTTTTGTCTACACAGCACAATGAAATGCAAGTAAGAGCGATAAAAGAAATAACCTTGAATCTCTTCCAATTTATATTTTATAAAAAGCAAACTATCTACAAATTTTAGTATTTCAAGTAAAATGAGAAACAAATTACTTTGCAGCATTAAGACTGAGAATCTACAATAGGCTGAATCTCTTAAGACCTTTCCTTGTATTGTATAATATGGCCCAGAAGACTGACACATTTTACTGAAGAGCAAGGTATGATACAACTCTTGTATCCCAAACTGCTCTCTCCAATTGGTTCTGAAGGCGTATTTCAAAACTGATCCTGCACCCAATATCTTTAGCATTTACCATTTATACTACAGAGAATGCAGCCCCAAGTTTTAATAAAGGCCAGGGTTAATGAGCTCTAAAAGATGTCTAGGTAGAAGATAAAGTAGTACAACATTCAATAATACAGCCAAGTCATATCACCTTCTTCCTTGTTCTCCCCACTCCCAACACTCCAGAGTTCTATGGAAACTTTATAACCCTTTGTCTTTTTCTCTAGTACCCAGCTGTATCAGCAGCACTATGGGTGCTACAGACTGAATGTTTGTGTCCCTCACATCATATGTTAAAATCCTAATATTAGGACATGGGACCTTCGGGAGGTGGTAAGGTCATGAAGGGAGAGAATTCATGAATGGGATAAGTGCTCTTATAAAAGAGACCCCAGAGAGCTCTCTAGACTCTTCTGCCATGTGAGGACATAGCAGGAAGACAGCCACCTATGAATCAGGAAGTTGGCCCTCACCAGATACTGAATCTGCAGGCGCCGTATCTTAGATTCCTATCCTGTCCCAGAACTGTGAAAAATAAATTTCTGCTGTTTATAAGCTATTCAGTCTATGGTATTTTGTTATAGCAGCCAAAACAGACTAAGATAACAAATCTATTCTCATTCTCAGAAATGATTTACAATGAAGAGACTTAGCCTGAAAACTCTGGTCAGCTTCATAACTGGTTGACAAATTTAGTTGCTGTTTGTTCTTTATCACATTGTTTCTCTATTCTAGTTCCTTCTTTGTGGTCCCTACTAATTTTTTTAGGTTCATGATTAACCAAAGGCTCTATGTAAGTATTTCTCATTTGAAGAAAAAAAATTAATTTTGACTTAAGAGGCAAACTAATTTACAAACTAAATTCTTACTTTATGAAAAAAATAGTGCATTTCTTTAAAGACCAAGCTGCACTGTATTTAGATATGATTTAACATGCACACAATCTTTCAAAAATAAATCTATATGTAACTTGGAACAATTTCTATAATATCTTGAACTTCTAAAAGAAAGCAAACAAAAATTATATAAATATATCAGAATAAAATTTTCACAATGTATATGCATAGTTGGTAGTTAAGACTTTTTTAAGCTGCTCTTTCTTGAGAACCTACTATATGCCTAGCTCTATGCAAAGGCAAATGCAAATATGTATTGGCTCATTTAATCTGCACATTTAGTTAAGTATTACTATCGTTTTTAACAGACGAGGATATGGTAGGTAATGGAGATAAAAGGATTTGCTAAGAGCTTTCCTTTTAGCAGGTCACCCTAATTGTGATTTCCACAAGGTCTGTCTGGTTGCAGAGCTCAACACTTTCCAGCACACCATATATTACAGAGTGGGACTTCGAATGTTCCCATGGCCTAAAATGCCCAAAGTCATTCAGCTTCTTGCTGTCTTCTTGTGATCCATCCCCTCCTGACTGGGCACCTGTTTTGGCATTCAGATCAGAAGAGATGATAAAAGTGAAGGTACATTATAAAAAGTCTGTCCTTAACTATGTCTTTGGATAAGTTTTTTTTATCTCTGTCTCCCACCTTGTTTTTCCCTAATCTCTAACCTAACACTAGGTTTACCAGTACCACTTCATGGAGTCACTGAATACAAAGTCACAGAACCCAAATGGTTACAGAACTAGGAGGGACGTTAGAAACTATTCAATCCAGGGGTGCCTGGGAGGCTCAGTCGGTTAAGCAGCTGCCTTCGGCTCAGGTCATGAGTTCGCAGTCTGTGGGTTTGAGCCCCACATCAGGCCTCTCTGCTGTCTGCACAGAGCCTGCTTTGGATCCTCTGTTCCCCTTTCTCTCTGTTCCTCCGCCAAATGTTCTCTCTTTCTCTCTCTCTCAAAAATAAATAAATTAAAAAAAGGAAAAAGAAAAGAGAAAGTATCCATCCAGGGGTGTGTGGGTGGCTCAGTCAGTTAAGCGTCCAACTTCAGCTCAGGTCATTATCTCACAGCTTTAGCTCAAGCTCCACAAAGGGCTCTTGGCCATCAGTGCAGAGTGGAGCCTGCTTTAGATCCTCTGTTTTCCTCTCTCTCTACCACTCCTCTGCTTTCTCTCTCTCAAAAAATAAATAAACTAACATTTGATACTGAATCAGTAATTACATTGGTTGCTTTAAAATGAGATCAGGGCACTGGCTGACTTGGATGGTGAAGCATGCAACTCTTGGTCTTGAACTGACTGTGAGCCCCACGTTTGGTATGGAGAGTACTTGAAAATAAAATCTTAAAAAAAAAAAAGAAATTATTCAATTCAGCTCTCCCTTTTTACAAATAAAGAAACTCAAGGGGCGCCTGGGTGGCTCAGTCAGTTGGGCGTCCAACTTCAGCTCAAGTCATGATCTCACAGTTTGGTTCATGAGTTCGAGCCCTGCATCAGGCTCTGTGCTGTCAACACAGAGCCAGCTTTGCATCCTCTGTCTTCCTCTATCTCTGTCCCTACCTCACTCGCACTCTCTCTCTCTCAAAAATAAACAAACATTTAAAAAAAAAATAAGGAAACGCAAGAGATGTTAACTTGCCAGGGTCACATTGCTAGTAGATACAGCCATACCTATAATCAGATCTCTGACTTTATACACTAGCCACAGTATTAGGAGTTTCCACGTAAGGAGACATTTAAAAATTTTTCTTGGGGCACGTAGGTGGCTCAGTCAGTTAAGCATCTGACTTTGGCTCAGGTCATGATCTCACGGTTCGTGGGTTCCAGCCCCGTGTTGGGCTCTGTGCTGACAGCCAGCCTAGAGCCTGGAACCTGTTTCAGATTCTGTATCTCCCTCTCTCTCTGACCCTCCCCTGCTCACACTGTCTCTCTTTCTCTCTCTCTCTCTCTCTCAGAAATAAATAAAACATTAAAAAAATTTTTCTTTAACAAGAATTTTTTAGATTATAAAGTAATTTCATAGTGAGAAAAGTACTAACACTCCAGAAAAGTGTGAAATGAAGAGCAGAAGCCCCTTCTCTTCTAAATTCTAATCCAATTTTGCTCCCTGGGAGTCACCACATTAAATTTCTTGCCTGTTTGTGCAAAATATTTCTATACAATTACATGTACATACATGTGTGAAGTAATCTAAATATGGAACTCCAAAGATTACTCTCTCATCTCAGACTGATGTTTTCCTCTGTATAATTTAGTCAACAGTCATAGTATTAATAATACGCATAAGTTATACTGCAACACATCCTTAAGTTTATAAAGCTGTCAGTGATTTTCTTCTTATGTACAGCTCACCTGTTTTCCAGATCCGGCATGCTTAGGTTTCTAGCAGCAAAGCACATTTTGAGAGGGATGACCTTCCTGTCCTTGGTGCTGTTCTGGTGTTTTGGAGAACCAGAGTCCTCACTGCCACTAAAGCTTGGTGACTGAGGAGATGCACCTTCCCATGGTAGATCTGATACTAATGATGGCTTCTTGATATATGGTGTTACTTCTCGGATGAACTTGACTACGAACAAAAATCAAACAAGAAGTTACTGTTTTTGCTTCCTATGAAAAATGACAACTGAAATACACACATACACATAATATCTGCCAGGAAGTGAAAAAAATACACAGCACACAGAATCTTAGAATTGGAGGGTATTTGAGGCCACGTAGTCCAAATGAAATACCACTACTGTATTCTAAAAAGTTTAACTTTTGTACTTTTGCATGTATTGTTCCTTCCGCTTAGGACTCCTCTCTTTCTGTCTGTCTGGTCAACTCTACTCCAGAGTCACCTCCTCAGCAACTTTTCCTGTCAACTCCTTCTAGGGTATTACCTTTACACTGTTAACAACCTCTTGCCACCCTGGGTTGTAATCCTTGCCAATATTTCCATTTGCCTGCTGGATCTGAGTTCCCCAAGGGCAGGAATTATGATTCATTCTGTCTTAATATCCAACACCTAGGGGAGCCTGGGTGGCTCAGTCGGTTATGTGTCCGACTTCGGCTCAGGTCATGATCTTGCGGTTTGTAGGTTCAAGCCCCACATCAGGCTCTGTGCTGAAAGCCAGCTCAGAGCCTGGAACCTGTTTCAGATTCTGTGTCTCCCTCTCTCTCTGACCCTCCCCTGCTCACGCTGTCTCTCTCTCTCTCTCTCTCTCTCTCAGAAATAAATAAAACATTACAAATTTTTTAAAGAAAAATGATAATATCCAACACCTAGATCAGTGTGTGCTCAATACATGTTTGAATAAATAAGTAAAGAAATAAATTAAAAATTAAATACTTGAATTATTTCCATAGTTACCCAGCCATGAGTGAATCTCCTGGTGATAGATTTAGTACCTCCTGACACAGTACTACCTAGCTTTAGACAACTCAACATTTACAAACTTCTTGAAGCTTCCACCCACTGTTTGTCCACCAACTGAAGTCATACAGAAAAAACTTAATCTCTTCCAAATGAGAATCCTTCAATTATCTAAAGACTGAGATTATTTTTCTTTCTCTTCTCCCAACTAAGCTAAAAATCTCTAGTTCAATTCAATACAACTCAATGAATATCTTTAGCAACCTACCAAGTGTCAGTAATTAGGCTAGCCACTAAGAATACAGTAACAAATGAAGCAAGAATCCTGCCCTCAAGGAATGCCCCATCTCGTAAGGGCGACAGCTATGTAAACATCGTTACAGATTTGAAAACAAGTACAAACAAATACAAAAATAAAGTGTATTCAAGATAAGGTATTTAATAGTAGCCCTAAATTAAAACACAGCTTTTAGTAGACGGAAAACTTTTTCCTTTTTAAGTTCAATTTTAGGATTCATAAAATACTTCTTTTCCCTCAGTCATGACTGGCAACTGCTGTCATTTGAGGCATAGGGTTCTTGTTTCAAAAACCAGGTAAACCGTAGATTATTAAAATTTCAAATGGCATTAAAAATGTAAATAGTTGAATGCAGATACGTCAGTCATCATTACCTCTGCTATCACAATATATCAGTATTCTACTTCTCTCTCAAATTCTTTTTTTTTTCTTCTCTCTCAAATTCTAATGCAGTAGGTCATCAGAGTAGTATCATGGGAATTAAAATAACTAGAAAGATATGATCATTATCAATGCTTATCAATATCATAATAGTCAGTATTAATATTCTTATAGCATTAGAAGCTTTACAAGCCTAGGAAACTAACAGATTACTAAATCTAAAAAACAATTTCAGATGTTTCTAAAAACATACTTACCAGTATTTAAAATACTTCCTTTTTTGAACAACTAATACACACACATAAAACAAAATTCAAAAAATATAAAAGAGAGGTGCCTAGGTGGCTCAGTTGGTTAAGCGGCTGACTTCGGCTCAGGTCGTGATTTCGCAGGTCGTGAGTTCAAGCCCTACATCGGCCTCTGTGCTGACAGCTCAGAGCCTGGAGTCTGCTTCAGATTCTGTGTCTCCCTCTCTCTTTGCCCTTCTGCTGCTCTTTCTCTGTCTCTATTTTTCAAAAATAAATAAATGCTAAAAAAATTTTTTTTAAGTATAAAAGATTTTATAATAAAAAGTCTAGATTTCTAGCAGCCCAGTTCCCATCCCTTGAAGCAACCATATGGATTTCTAGTGATATGCTAGATATGCTAAGCATATGTAAAAATAAACACACATGTGTGTGTACCTGTACTTCACATAATGGTAGTTATAATGACTACTGTTCTGCACGTTGCTTTTTTCACTTAATAATACTGATAACAGTCTTTTATAAGCCCATTCTACAGCTCATTCTATAGCATGCTTTGGACTCAGATGGATCTGGTTCAAATACCAGCTGTTTTCTACCTCAGTTACTAGACCTCACTTGACTATTCTGAAGTCCTTGTCTATAAAATGGAAGCAACACTAAACAAGTAAAAATTTCAGGCATATACTAAAAATTCAATAAATAGTATGTGCCTCTCATTTCCTTCCCTAAATTGAACAGTTAGAAAAATTAAAAATTTTTAACAGCAATCAGTAGAAAAATAAAATTATTTTCTTATAAATTATTAAATAAGATCTGCTGTAAATACGGATGATCATAGAAAATGTAACAATGCTAATGTCAGCACGTAGATATAGTTTATGTGTGTTTGTGTATGCATGTGGGTGCTTTCTATGCAGTTATAATACGTGCATTTATTTCCAGGTGGAGAAGGTAAAAGCTGTCCCAGGTCACCAAGGAGATTTTTTCATCCTAGAAAAATGAGCAGGGGTGAAGCCAGTAATATCCCTGGAGCGGCTGACTCAGGCATTTCAGTACATGCTTTAGTTTTGTGTTTTCAAGAAAGGATTAGATCACAAGAACTTGAGTAGAAATTCCTAAGTTTCCAGTCACTGCCAATGGCAGAGACTTGCTTTTTGAACTTGTAAGACAATATATCCACTATTGGGCTACCAATGAAAGGAAATTAAAAGCATTCTAAATGACTATTCTTGAATATTATAGTGGCAGCAAAAGGATCCTGTGCGATATACTCAGAAGTTTATTCAGTAACACAGTCGCATCACTGAACTGATGACTACACATATGTTTAAATAGACATACATACAGAGTATGTACATTTCATGGTCTTATGAAAGAGCAGTGGTTTCACTTGAGTTGATGAACATGATGCCCATTCTAAGTGGCCATCCATAATGGCTGAAGAACTGTGAATAGACATGTCTCTTGTTTTAATTTATTTACTTAGTTGGGGGAGGGGTAGAGAGAGGTGGGGAGGGGCGCCTGGGTGGCTCAGTCGGTTAAGCATCCATCCAACTTCAGCTCAGGTTATGATATCACAGTTCATGGGTTCGAGTCCCACATAAGGCTCTGTGCTGACAGCTAGCTCAGAGCCTGGAGCCTGCTTCAAATTCTGTGTCTCCTCTCTCTGATCTTCCCCTGCTCATGTTGTCTCTCTCAGAAATAAATTTAAAACATTAAAAAAAAGAAAAAGAGAGAGAGAGAGACAGGGGAGAAAAAGAGAATCTCAAGCATTAACAGTGCAGAGCTGCATGCGGGGCTTGATCTCACTAACCATGAGACCATGACCTGAGTCAAAATCAAGAGGTGGACACTTAACTGACAGAGCCAACATGCACCTCTAGACACCTGTTTCTAATTTACCTGAGATTTGTGGGAGGCGGGAAGTTAACCATGTTCTGTTTTAGTTCTATAATCAGACATCTCCAGTTACCACAGTATTTTAACCTGGACACCTGGCTAGCTAAGTAAAGACTCTACATGGCAGTCAGGTCGACTCAGAACTCAATATATTTCAGAATTATTTCATTTTGCCTGATAGCTGAAGATCATCCTCAAAATGTTTAATTAAACACTTTTTATAGTGTTTTAAGTGTTAAATGATGATCACATCTACTGAAAATGAGAGGCTTCCCTGCCTCCTAAGAGCATCATTATAACCCTTTTCTCATTAGAATGACAAAAACATATGCATGAATTGTACACACACCTGGAAAGACGTCTGCAAGGATTTTCATTAAAATACCAGCAGTGCTTTATATATAGGCATAAGATTGCCTTTTTAAAAAAAAAAATAGTTCTGGGGCGCCTGGGTGGCGTAGTTGGTTAAGCGTCCGACTTTCGCTTAGGTCATGATCTCGCGGTTCGTGGGTTCGAGCCCCGCGTCGGGCTCTGTGCTGACTGCCAGCTCAGAGCCTGGAGCCTGTTTCAGTCTGTGACTCCCTCTCTCTCTGACCCTCCCCTGCTCACGCTTGCTCTCTCTCTCTCTCCCCTAGAAATAATAAAAAAATTTTAAAAAATATATATAGTTCTGTATATATGAAATTCTTACAAATCCATATAATTTATAAAACTTATTTGAGAAATGAAGACAATTTATTCTGAAACCTTGCTCAAACTGTAAACATGGAACTGTCTTAAACTGAAATCCTGTTGAGTCTTCAAAAACTATAATGCATTGGATGGGATCCAAGATCCAACTGATTCTTACTAAATTCCATACTCTAATGAACAGGTTTACAGGAGGCCTGTGCATTTTAATGAGGTGCCCTGCTACCCTGCTATCCTGCTTTGGGGCATTAGGCAGCATCAGATTTTGAGTCGAAAACCATTTTATGATTTTTTTCATAGTGCAGATATAACTTACGGCTATAAACATAAGTGTTCTAGTAAATCAATCACCTTCTCCTCCAAACATTTTCTCTTCCAAGCATCTCTCATATCATCATCTTCCTCTTTATCTCTAACATTTACCTTTTTTCTTACCTAACCTGGTGACCGTTACTATGAGTTTAAGTGAAACCAATGGATCCAACAATATGGGGAGAATGGTGTCATCATTCTCCCCAGCTTTTGAAAACAAGTTTGTCTCTGGGTTATGCTGAGGGTGGAAGAGCTGGCTTGTCATTTCACTCACAAATGAGTTATGAGTGACATCACTGTGGAAGTATTCTCGAAAGAGGTTTCTTCTCTACCTCGTCCCAAGATCCTCCTCTAAATCAGGAATCTGATAGATGGCTACCAGA